AGATGGCTGGCTTGCCCGATCTGAGCCAGCCGGCTCCACCCCCCCCCGGAGAAAATGGAGGCCGCGGGGGTGCCGGCGCCTAGCCTGGTGTGGTAAGCGGGGGCCGGGTGGGCCTTTGCCCCCCAAGCTGGGCTGGGCTGGGGGTCACTCACAAAGCTCCCAGAGCTGGGCCGGTCCTGTGCCTTCCTCTCCGTCTCTGCATCACCGCTGCCGTTTTTCCTGGCCTTTGTTGCCTTGGGCTGTTCGGTCTCCCGGCGCGGTTGCGGCGCTCTCAGGAATCTTCTTTTGCATCAGCCCTAATACCTCGAGACTGTAGTTGCTTTTTTTTCGTTGTAGATTAGTTGATCAGTGATTTATTTGTTTTTTGTTGCTCTTGGAAATGCAAATAGTACTCTGGCAGCACAGCGCACACTTCACAGGCTCTCTCTGTCCTCTGGCACGCTCACTCCAGACCCGTCGCCATCTTGCTCCTGGAAGTTGGGCATCAGATTTTCACTTGAGTTTTGTGGGGACAACACATTCAAACTCTATCAATAGAAGATCATGAAATTTGCGGATGAGCAGAATTTTATTCGTATTCTGCAGCCACTTTTTTTGATAAATTTTTTTTTTTGCCATTGTAGATTTAAACATTTGTTAAAATATAAAAATTACACCTATTTCCAATTCCTGATAATTATATCTGTACTTTTTGATGTTTTTTTTCTTTCATTGCAGCTTCAGGAACATTGTAAGATAAATTTCTATTGTGATAAAATATCCTTGATTTTTATATTTCAGAGTGTGAGTGAACACAGATTGGATTGATATATACTGTGTTTCTGAAGGTTTATTTTGAAAAGAAATCCAAGGGAAGTATTCACAAGTACTACCTGAAAGAAAGTGAGCCAAAACGCCTGATACCGATCAAGCTTTATTAAAGGAAAAGAATCTGCCGGGCTGTGCTCAAAGTGGAGAGCAGCCAGGGCTGCCCTCAAAATGGAGGACAGCACCAGATGTGGGGGTGGGAGAGCTTATATGAACTGTAGGGTGCCAAGGGCTGGCTGATACAATTAAGGAGGGGCATTATGCTAATGTGGAAGCTATGTGACCAGGGTGGAGAACTGCGTCCTTGTGGAAGCAAAAGGGTTTCTGTTTCTCAGAAATCACGAGGTTTCTAGTAAAGGGAAGGGGAGGGGTTGGGGTCATTTTGTGCTTGGCCTTGCCTAAAGTGGCACTGGTTATGTTCAGAACTATCACTACCTGTATAAAGTTATTTATGTTTAGATGGAAACCTTTTTTTTTTCTTTCTCCCCAGATTTATGCTGGATGCACTTTAGTTAATAAATATTTGACAGTACTATGCATTGGGCACTGTGCTAGGCTCCCAGATCGTAGGTGGGAGAGAAATATAGTTGAGTAGGACAGTCAGTCGTTTGACATGTTAAACTTTGAGTATTATAAACTAAACCTTGCATAGGAAGTGAATAAAAATTCTTTAGTGAATGTTTTTTAAACCATAGTTCTTAAGGTACAGTTTCAGAGAATGATGACCATGTAGGATTGTGAATGTAAAAGCAAACGCCTTGTGAATCAGAATGGGAGAATTTCTTAATTTTTTAAAGATTCTTTTTCTTTAATTTCTCCATGGGTTAATAATCAATTTATTAACAGAAGTAATGTTCCAGAAAAATCTGAAAATAAGGATGTGTAGGTAGCCCTACCCTATTTTAGTTTCTTCATTTGTATGTATTTGTAGTTAGACTATGTGTAAGATTTTGCTGTTTATTCATAATTTTGCTATTTGTGTAGACTTTGTAACTCTTTCCTTTCTCTTAAATAGCAGTGATAGGAATTTGCCTGTGGAATAACATTAAAATCAAAACTGAAATGTAGACTGTAAAAGTGTAGATGTTGAAATATAGATTACAGAATAGATTGTAAGGTTTTAGAAAAAATAATCAGGCTTTTACTATTATTTAATTGGAAGTTTTGTCCTAATTTTATATGACTTTGTACTTGGAAGCTTGTAATTGAGGGGCAGAGGGAAAATTATTCACTCTTTCCTGCCTTCCTGGAAAGTATTGGGGATAAAAAGAAAAAAAGGTCAGCTGTAATCTCTAATGAAAGAGTATTGGAGTATTCTCAGTCACTCATATTCTGGTTGGGAGAGATATTGCTCATTTAATAAAACTACAGTATAGATTAGTAAATTTAAGTAATTTAGTCATTTTAAGTAATTAGTAATTTTCACAGTAAGCATTTTTAATTGTTTGCTAACATGAGCAGTCAGTTTGATTTGTTACACATCGATGGCAAATTTATTGCTTCTGAAAACTAGTGTTCCAATTTTATTTTTGGCAGTTCACTGGTAGGGAGATCTGAACCCTTGACTTTGGTGTTAGACATTACGCGCTAAGCTCTAACCAACTGAGCTGATTGGCCAATGTTTAGCTGGGTCTAGAATTCTTTGTTAATGGTTATTGTTTCTATGGAGATTTTATTCCATTATCCTCTGGTTTCTATTGCTGGGTAATAGGTAAGCCTAATCTTATTTCATTATAGGTAATCTTTTCTGTGTTGCTTTTAAGACATGCTTTACATCTTTTGAAATAATACAGTGTTACTACAAATGTGTACAGCCATTTCAATTTTGTTTTTTTGTTTTGGTGGCTGGCTGGTGCGGGGAACCAAACCCTTGACCTTGGTGTTACAAGGCAGCGCTCTAACCAACTGAACTAACTGGCTAGCCCAAATATGTTTAAATATGTTTTTTATTTATTCTGTTCAGATTTTTGTTGCCCTTTCTGAATTGGAAGACTCCCATGTTTCAACAGTTTTTGAAAGTTCTCAGCCATCATCTCATCAAAGATTACCTTTCTTTATTTTTTTCTCTCTTTAAATTTCCATTTGACTTATTGGAACCTCTCATTGTAGCCTTCATGTCTATTAATTTTTCTTTAATATTTTCCCTTATGTATCCTTTTGTGCTACATTGTCAATTTTTTTTTTTTTTGTCCTTTTTGAGACCGGCCACACCACGCTCAGCCAGTGAGTGCTGTGAGCGCACCGGTCATCCCTATATAGATCTGAACCCGCGGCGGGAGCGCTGCTGCGCTCCCAGCACCGCCCTCTCCCGAGTGTGCCACGGGCTCGGCCCTACATTGTCAATTTTTAATCAGATCTTTCTATTTGAAAATTCTTCAACTTTGTGTAATTATCAGTTCATTTAGTTTTTAATTTCTGAGTTTGTGTGTGTATATGTACGTATATGTCTATATGCACACACAGGTACAAAGTTTAATTCTTTCTAATCTCTTTTTTTTAAATGACTGTTTTCTGTGTGTCTGATTTCTTTTAAAGTTGTAATGGCTTTGTCGTGCATACTCTTATTGGTAGGCAAGGACCACTTGAGACCAAGATGTTTGATCCTTGAATCACATGGTTTTGTTAGACACACAATCTTAATTTAAACACACACACAATAACTATCCTTAACCTACTTTCACTTTAAACCATATGATCCCTTAAGGGCACACTGCACACAACTCCTGTTCTTTATCCTGTTAGGAACAGTTCAGGGATCTTAATGTCTTTGGCATGAAGTTCTTTCCTGGCCACCAGGAACTGGATGGAGTGTGATTAATGATCCTTGAGAACGTAGCTTGAGAGCAGCGTACACCTGGGTCGCTCCTCAGTTCAGCAGAGGCAGCGCTGAAGGGTCCTTGCCCTTGTGGGCTAAAGGTCCTGTGGGCTTCAACAAGATTGGCTTTCACCTCTGTGTGAGAGTAGCCCACACCAAGAAGTGTCAATTCCAATCTGTTTCTGTCCACTGGACCAAGGATCTGAGCGACTGGCCAACAACCTGCCACAGCTGACAGATGCAGTGAAATAAGTCAGTCACACTGCTGTTTAAATACTCTTTTGACTGGTGAGGTAGTGTCGGATGTCTGTTGTGGTTTATAAGTATCCTTATTCAGGAGTCATGGTCAAGTCCTCCCAAGTCCAGATGGTAATATCTCAAAAGGGTATGATTGGTTAAGTACCAGGGCATTCACATCACGTGGACATGTCCCGCTTAGGAATGCCAAGTTCATGATGCAAGTTCCCTTGACCAAGGTCCCTCCATCTTAAATTAGCATGAAGCACTTATTTGGCACTCCCAACAGGCTGAAAACATTTTGTGTAGTGTCTGATATTCTTTTATCTAAAATTCTTTAAAATATGTTCTCTATTGGTATCTACTAGCTCTTGTTCATCTTTGATTGTAAGTTCACCTTCAACAGGAGTGTATCTGCAAACACTATACTGGGCAAACTAGGTTGGATAGGAGTTTTTCCAGAGGGGTTTTGTTTCCTTCCCGAGTACCAGGGCTTTCATGACCTTGGAGCCATTTTTACATTAATATTGTTGGTAAGAACGGGTGGGGGTGTTCTGGATTGGCAGAGACTGTAGATACATATCTCAATCCATGGTTATAAAATCCTAATGGGTACTTTTTTTCTGACTTTTGAAAAAGCAGACAAGCTTTTCCTTTTTATGTGTTTTTCTCATTGTGTTAATAGGGGAATTTTTTTCCCCTCTTAGTCGATCTTTTAATGACTTGTGGACCCCTTGGAAACTCTCAGTTTTATGTACCTCGTCTCATTTCCACTTACACAACTTGCAGCCCAAGGTTTCCTGTGTTAGCTTAAATGTGCATTAACACTTTGGTTCTTTCTTGGTCTCCCCTAACCACAGAATTTCCCGAAAACTTGCCTATTTTAAAGCAAAACAATTTTTGTTATTTTTTTATTTGAAAGAGTTTTAGTTCATATTGCTGAAGATGGATTTCCTGAATTAGTTTTTAAAATTGTGATTTAATTTATAATTAAAAAATATAATAAGGCCGGCCCGTGGCTCACTCGGTAGAGTGTGGTGCTGATAACACCAAGGCCACGGGTTCGGATCCTATATAGGGATGGCCGGTTTGCTCACTAGCTGAGCGTGGTGCTGACAACACCAAGCCAAGGGTTGAGATCCCCTTACCGGTCATCTTTAAAAAAAAAAAAAAAATAATAAAAAATTTAACTTAACTTTAAAAGAGCTGATGGTGGGAAAAGGTAAACATTCT